CTTCCTTCCTTCCTTCCTCCCTCCCTCTCTCTCTTTTTATTTCTAGGTTTTATTTATTTAAGTAATCTCTACACCCCATGGGGGGCTCGAACCCATGACCCTGAGATCAAGTGTCGCATGCTCTTCCAACTAGGCCCGCCAGGCGCCCCGATCTGGACTTCTCTCGCTCAGGAGAGGAGACGCTCTGTGTCTGTGCGTCTCTCAGTTCTGGGACTAGGAAGGGTCATGAGTCTCCACCGTGTTGACCTGAGTCATTTCTCAGACCCCCAGACTACTGGTGTTCCCTGTCGCTCATTGGGGTCAGCGAAAACTCTGGGAGGTCACTTGTCTTTTTCAGTCCTGGGGACACTTGAGCAATTAGCCACTGCCAGAGGTCCTGCAGGGAAAACTGCTCTGGCAGTTACTTGTTGAGACAATGACACCCGCCTTGTGGCTGGCGGTGCCACCTGGCTTCTGACACCCAGGGTCACATTGTGCCGTTGAGTCCAGGGAGTCTGCCTCGGCGGGAGCGTCTCCCCCCAGCATCCTTATTCCACAGAACTTTTCAAGGATGCTGGTGCTCCCCGCCCCCCAACACATTCCCAATGCCTGTTTCCTCCAAAGAGACACTCGGGCGTGAACAGGTGCACGCAGGAAGCCCTCTAGCATTGCTGTCTCTGTGCTTTTGCATTCTTTCCCTCCCATTATACCAAGACCGTCTGACATCTCCCTTCTTTTGTGTCTGAGCTTCAGTCAAGCAACCAAACGAGCGTCTAAAGCTACCGCCAGCTGCTCTTGAACAAACTCGCCGAACCCAGAGTCTCTGGCAAGTGAGCCCATGGTGATCGGTCCAACCCGACCCGGGGCCATGTTGCCCCCTCTGTGGCCTCATCTCTCAGAGCCTATTACCACACATGCCCCGGGCTCCCCCTGTTATAAGTTGGCAAAAACTCGCATTTGGTGTACGTGGTCGTTTCCTTGTGTCTGCGTGACTGTGTGCTCATTTTCACCCCTGCCTCTAGTCATCGATCTGGAAATCATGAGAGTTGGTGGAGGTGAGACTTGACACTTGCCACCTTGTCCCCTGGTTGTTCCCCTGGGCGAGGTCCTCACAGGGTCCCTGGGTACGGACACACCAACCTCACATGGTGAGAAAGGGCTGCTTCTGCTGGTGGGGGTGGTCCAGGGGATTTGGTGCTCAGGGGACTCAGATCCAGTAAAATCCACTCCAGTTCTCATGATCGCACTCTTTCCAAATAAATGCCCTAACTTTTACTGAAGAGACTTGGTAAAATACAGACTGCACTTCAGCTGCAATGCATTAGCCTGCTAGATTAAAAATTTTTTTAATGTTTATTTATTTTTGACAGAGAGACAGAACATGAGCAGGAGAGGGGCAGAGAGAGAGGGAGACACTTAATCGGAAGCAGGCTCCAGGCTCTGAACTGTCAGCACAGAGCCCGACGTGGGACTTGAACTCACAGACGGCGAGATCATGACTTGAGCCGAAGTCGGACATTCAACTGACTGAGCCACCCAGGCGTCCCTAGCCTGCTAGATGAAATTTGAGGTCCTCTTTAAAAAAAATTGCCCTGAAAGCTACAAGAAATAAAATAAGGTTTTTTTCAGAAGAGCCACAGAAGCACTCTGGTTCTTGGGCCGTGCCCTGAGCGGAGAACTTGGGCCACGGCTTGTCACTTCCTTGCTGCCAACCCACCAGTGTGCTCAGCAGGACCTCACTGGTCTCCAGCTCACAAGCCATCATAACCCTCTGTCGCGAGAGCCCTTGGTCCCTGGAAGCTGTCGTTCATTGGAATGACACTAGAACGGCCTCACTGGAAGCCATTTCAATGTGCCCCTCGTCACAAACCAGTGGAGGTGATATTTCATTAGTGACTATATTCACGGACTCTCCGCAGCCTGCCTCATATGGTCACAAAGTCATTACTTA